CAGCTCTGGCTAAGCTCGTTCGGCTGAGACTGTGTGAGGCTGCGAGCAATTTTTGTTCGTTTAGGAATCAAGCGGCCATTGTGACAACATGGGAAGGTACTTGGTCACCGCTCACAAACTGTGAAGAGAGCATTGGACGATGACAAGACAACGACAAAGCCTGCGTATTCGACGCTGGTCGCAGCCACCGACCAACAACGGCCCACCATTACCGATTAGATAAACGACGCTCAATGAATTTTGTAATAGCGGTGGCTGTTTGAATCGAACTGTTTTTTTTTCTCTCTTCATTCACTGGTCTGTGGAAAGGAGTTGATTGCCGAATGATATCGATAACGACTCTCCGGCGGCTTTTTAAGGGATTTGGGCGTTTTTCTCTATGCTCAAGTCAGGGGTATTTTGGAGGTATCATCTAAGACAATCCAAACAAAGGAAGCCGAGCGGATAAATATAACCGATGTTTATTCCGATGATCCGTTGCGATTCAAATGAGGCTTCCGTCCTGGTGTGAGCATTCGTATCCGCAAAATCCCTGCCTCAGAATGCTGGCACGTCGCGTCTCAAAACAAGACTTCGGCGGTTGTGAGAGGGCTCTCTGATGATTCCTCGGATGCATCGCTTCCGAGGTGGTCATCGATGATATCATGGGTGGCGGACGAGTCTATCGTTACATTTTCATGCGACCTCATGTGACTTACCCCAAACATCCAAAAACGTTCGAAGTGACGCGCTTGAGGTCATCAGGGTCGAGCATCCCTAATCTACTGATCTTTATTGATGCAATAAATATCCGTTTTTGAGGCTTCCAGTTTCAAATGTGGGAAAAACTCCCCGGATCATCTATTCATAATGATTGTTTCATCGAAGGAGGATCGGCGAAATTCCCAGGCTCCAAAACCCTCTCTTCAGGCCGCTTCGGTCGAAGTACAGTTCTCCTCTCGCCCGTCAAGCCGTTGACATATCATCCACATACATATGTAGGTACATCATCGAGCTAATCAACTCGAAACAGCATGCAGCCTCCAGGTTCTCCCGACTCGGGACAGAGTCGAGCTTTGGGGCATCGAAACGAAGGTGTGGAAAGGCTCGGCGAGTACCCACAGGAGTCACCGAACTGTGAGTCTGCGGCATGATTGATGCCTCAAAAATCAGGACAACAATGGAAGCGAAGACAGCAGCGAGCTGACGATTTCTTCGACGCTGATGCTCATGACCTTTGTTATTGGTATCTTCAATCTCGTCAGCCATCTCCATTCGTGCTGATGTTCGTGTCAGCTCATGCATCCGCCTGCCAGCCTTCGGAAGAGTTCGTCTGGCGACCAGTCAGCCAGTCAGCTGATCACTCCGTCGGTCCGCCAGCGGGAACGCACCTCAAAATTCATCGACTGTGAAGGGGTTTCATCTGCTAATCGAGTAGTGCGGTCGACCGCTCAACGAGGAGCGACCCGGAAGATTTGCGGAGGTCCGCTCGTTGAGCGAATGAGCAGAATGTTAGGACTTGGTGGTCTTGGCGGCGCGGCGGTTGTGGTTTTGATGCCGGCTCCGACGAAGAGGGACAAAATTCTCCAAAATTTCCAAAGTGGTCGTCGCTTAAACTTCGAACGGACAGGCAGCAATGGCCGAGAGTCGGGCACACAATCGGACGAGCGGATAGCGAGCCAAAACAAAACAAACGAAAAAAAATATGAGTGCACTGTTTGTTGAATAACGTTGCAGCGGCCGCCTTCCCCGTCGAATGCGGAAAGAAGTCGTCGTATGATCCCAAACGGCATTTATGGGAGACCAAGGTTCCGTTTTTCCCTCATGAAGAAAATGAATGAGTCGAGATGGAGAAAAAAGGAAGAAAACTCAAACAAGCTTACGCCACCTGTCAGTGGCCTTTGGTGACAGCGAAGATAGTTTTCCACGAGGAGGAAAAGGAAGAGGGCTTACTCTTCGCTTGAATTCATTTCGTAGCTCGCTGTTTACTCTTCTCCATTCAGCACACATTCGTCGTATCTATTCACGATTGTATGCATGTAGCGTTCGTTTCTGCCAGACTTGCTAGTTCGTGACATCTTTCTGTGTCGATTCCGCAATTTTCGTGGGATCTCCTCTTCCCGTAGTCGAGCGCGGCATCGGTGGCTGGGGTTACCTATCGCCGAACGGATTTCTTCACGCGAGCGCTCTTGCGATTTCCTAGCGAATTGAAATCTACGTTCCACTGCCTCAGAGTGCGCGCGTGTCGACTGCCTGAGTGAGTGACTGACTGAGGGAGCGTGTTCGACGCACGACGGTGATGATGGGTATCTTGAGAAAAAGAGCTTTGGAAATATCCCATGATCAGAACAATGACAGCCGTTTCTCTGTGACGCGTGGGAAAAAGTTGCCTCTTTTCTCCGATTCATGTTCGTCACGAGACAGGCGTTTAAAGAGATGCATTTCAGCAAAGCCTTCCGTCCTGATGTGAGAGCTCCCTCGCATCGATCGGTGTAATGTATTGGCACAGAACATGTGTCATGGAGTAGCGACATCATCGTTAGAGATATTCTGCAATAAAACACTCAGTGGGTAGTTCGATGCGAAGCTTTCCCCATCGTGAAAGTCTCTTTCTGCTCAAGTTGCGACCCGTGGGGCGAGAAAATCGACGAGACACAAGCCAGTTACACACTTATCTCGGAATACTAATCGCTAGAGCACTCTCCGTACGCTCTCTGCGGCAAGCCGTTCGGAAATGTCTTCCGCGAGAATATCTTCTGCGATGATTATAAATCGTATAATCTAGATCTGCGTGGACGCGACTCCAGGAAATTTCACTCTCCGAAAACGACAGATTTCTTCATATCAGGTGTGGCGTCTGAGACCTCGCCGCTTTTTCGAGCATCGAAATTTGTCGTTTCTCTTCTGAGTGCAATCGAAGGAGGCTCCTCACGGCGAAAAACTGGATTCCTCTATGATGTGATCCTTTTTCACGAGAAAATCAATCGAGAAACTCCTTTTCAGCGGATCGAGTTGCGATGACAGCTCTGCTGTTGGCCCGTAGGGATGCGCGACGCTGACAGAGACATGACTTCATTGCGCCTCACTGAGCTCCTCGTCACTCACAATCACAACGTCGAAGCGCATCCTTCGCTCGAAAAGAATTCTCCCACAAAACAAGGAAAAGCTCACAGCCTCAAGCAATGACTGTCGACCGGAAAAGCAAGCATGCTTGAGTCGCTGTTGCAGTCATGGGCCTGGGGCCTTATGGGATCGGAAGAGCCACTCCAAAAGCAAAAGTCATAATATTCCACGTCTGGTTACGGCGACCGACCGGAACGTTGTCGAGTTTCGATGAAGAAGTGGGCAGATATAGACAACCGGTGACGACTCGCTATCATGTGCGAACTGCCAGTCGCAAAGTTATTCGCTATCCCTCAGCAATTAACAGCCTAATAAATTCTGTTGTCCAACCACGCGAGCAGCATGGAGAATTCTCGATCTAGAGTGAACCTGTCGGTCTAGATCGAGACGGACGCGATTTATCGACAGGAGCGTGATCGCCAGAAAGCGAGAGTTTTCTCAGCGTCGGAACCCACTTTCTCGATTCGGTTCCACAAACCAGCCAGTCGGTGAAGTGCTGCGGTGTTATTACCGTTTATCGCATCTTCCGACTGGCTCCGATGTGCCTGAGGTTCAGTTGCGCGGGTTACGGCATCGTCGAGCTCCCAGAGGGCATGCTTGGCCATCATGTTTCATAGTTGAGCGCGCTGCTCATAGGACGCTCAGCTGAGCTTTAGTGAAACTAGATGATCATCTAGTCCCTTCCGCTCTTATCTCGAACTGTGAGAGCCCATTTGCGGAGTCCGCTGCCCCAGAGCCTCGAATGGGCGGCAGTACCGATGTCTTTGCATTTTGCGACGTGAACTCACTTGACATCTAAGTCCTTGCAATGGGCGACGGAGGTGGATACGTGCTTCGCTTAGAATCTTTACGCGTCCAATAGAGCAACCTTGCGTTGCCCAGGGCGTTCACCCTGAAGCCTGTCGGTCGCAATGCCCACGTGGTCGTCGGCCGACAGCTGAACGTGCAGTCGCAGCTTCATCTGCCGAGCGCGCCGCACATCGATGACGAAGCTCGTTTGCACACCCGAGGAGGCCGTGGAGGTCTTGAGTGAATGATTTCCAACATGTATACGCTTCCGGAAGAATTGCCCCGCCCGGGCGGGATCTATTCGTCCGGACAGCGCTCCAAGTCGGTCGGAGATCCCCTCTTGAGATCGTCGTCGTCCTCGGAGGTGAGCTAGAGTCGGTGCAGTTTGGAGCTACGTACGGGCCGATCGGCGAACGCGAGCATGCCCGACACCCATCCGCTTGCTGGGCCTTTAGAAGATCGGTCATTGATAATAATTTATCCCTTGACCCCGGATACCCTCCCCCCATCGGTGGGGAATCGCATCTGCCCCGCACTCCAAGGTTCGAGCTCGATACCGGATGGGAACCCTCATCCTCTCCGATCCGTTTGCCAGGCTTCACATGAGACACCTCCTCTCTCTTCTTTTAGTTTTCTCCTGTGCGTTCGGCTGTACTTTCTCCCTCCTCCTAGTAACCCACTTTCTTGCAGCAGACTTTCCAGTTACGTCTTGCCAGAGCTGACGAGCGGCTGTGCCGCTGTTGCTGAAGACCGAAGAACCAACGGGACTTTCTCCTCGAACGAACGCGGCGGCAGCGACGACAGCCACGAGCGCCGCGGCTCCAACCAGCGTCCGCTGATTGAAGAAGAGTGCGCCAGACGGACGAACCCCTTGGATTTTGTGAAAACGGTTATTTGTGACTTCTTGCCCGCACTGACAAAGGATATAACGGTTGAAGGCCCGACTTCAACACGAGAACTGGATACCTACTCAGTGTTAGTCGCAGTGAACATGAACCTCGTGCAGTGAGAGCATGCAACGAGCTTCGGAGCTCAGACCCTCGAGGCCTGGCCTCCCGAGGTCGGCGTGCAGTCGTGCCTCGCCATCATCAATAAGTGCCAACGCCAAAATGTTTCTATCGAGGACCAAATTCTCGTGTACACTAGTCCTCGTGTTCGCGCTATTCCACGGCGTTCACAGTGGTGAGTTGCTCTTCTCGATTGTTTGTCCGTTTGTTTGCCTCTTCGCTCGTTTTCAGTGTCAACGCGCCGTTCATGATCTTCAAGATGGTCTCGGCACCGCACACGTAGATCAAGTTGATGTCTCCGATATTACGCTGGCGTTACGCGACAGGGCGTGGGAGTCGTCCGATGATATTGAATTTAAAGCGGCGTGGTGGCGGCCATTCGCAAAAGCGTGGTGGCCGGCGTGATCGTTGCGAGCTTTCCGCAGATACAGCTGGGCAATGGCCTAGGCAGGCCACGCCTGAGTCCAATTTCACTTGGCGCTGCATGACTCTTGGCAGAGACCGTTGCACGTGAAATGATCCTATCTTGAATTGAACACGAACATCATGTACAAGGGAAGCACCTTGACAGTTTCCGTGGTCAGCGACTATGTAGAACGCATGGGAGGACGAAACGACGGTGTAGCAATCGTCCATGAAGTGGTGAAGCCGGAAAGGTGGAGCTGGGACAGAAAGTCTTCTCAATGGAGTCGGAGGCTCTGCGGACACCCTCCCGAAGGAGTCCCGGGAGGTGCAAGGGGAGTCCGCTCGCTTGTGGAATCCTATTCCCATTCTAAGCCTGACCGTGCTCAACTCGCGCGACTACCGGAGCTCGGAGCCCTTCGCGTGGGAACTCCGTCACTTCTCAGAGGAACTCCGAGCCCCATTGCAGGAGGGACATTCGGCGCTCGTTTTTCCCGGTAATCAGGCGCTGAAGTTCCCCAATTCGGTGGAACTTGTGTCGAGCCTGAACGAACATCTTCCGAAGAAACACTCGGAATCCTTCGAACCGGTTCTATGTTATCGAATGCCCACTCCGGTTGGACAACTTTCGCGTCTTCCAGATAATGACAGACCTCCTTTGCGGCCAGAGAAGGAAGGTTTCTATCTGTTTACAACTTTCTGTTCTCCGAAGCCCGGAGCGTCCCTCCGTATCTCGAAGCGCAAGCCGGTCGCTTCCGAGGCCATACTATTACTTCGGAACCACTCATCGGATAAAAAGGTATTCGGTCTGTCTCCGCTCGGTGTCGGATTGCCTGATGTGAAATCCTGAACTCGTGGCCTCATCAACAAGTCGGGAAGCGCGCGAGTTGTGTTTTTTGGCAGCGGACCGAATCTTTTCACAGCCGAAGTGATGGACCGAAATCTTCACCATTCAATCGGCACTCAGTTTTTGTGATTGGCATATTCTCTCCGTTGCCGCTCATTTTATTGATCGTCGGCTGTTTGCTCGGTATCGATGAGATGATCTTCGGTCAGGCCGGATTTCTGGACGACCGGCGATTCTGGCCGATTTTGGCTGACTGACTTTCTGACTGACTGACGAACTGAGCAAAGAGGATTCGGGTCCTGACCACAGGGTGCCCGCAGACGAATTGATTCCTCTAATCCGTTGACAGGCGTCTTGAGAATTCTAGGCCGACGACGAGAAGACGTTCGTTTTCTTCGAGACACGTTACGTTTTCTCGGATTCCAACCAACCCCCTCGTGAGGAGGGCACGACCTTTGGCACAGATCTTCTACAGCGAGCGAGCGAGCGAGCAATCTGCACACGGAGCAAGCAGGCACAAGCGGTTTCGGAGCTGCTGCTGAAGACGACTCCAATGAAGCAAATGAAGCCTCAGACAGATGGATAGACCGACGGACGGACGGACGGTCGACCTGACTGACTGACTGACTGACGATTGTCCACAAAACGATTTTGCCCTAAACCGAAGCCAACAGTATCGCTGCTGCTGCTGCCGCAAGTCTCTCGCATCGACGCACGCTCGCAAGAATCGCCGGCCCGACAAATGACATTCCGCGACGGGTAGCGTGGAGCAAAAAAAAGAAGAACATTCATCGAAGATGAGAACTCCCACAACTGATGCAACCTTTGCCCCAAAAATCAGCATAGCGTCTCCGGAGGATCTTTCGCGGCGCGTGTAGCATTCGCCCATTCCCATGACTGCTGCGGATACCCGATCGAATGGTCAACGGAATAGTCTGCGAGCTTCGACAATAATTTTCCAAGATCCTGTTCATCTTGATGCGCCTGTTGGCGTGGTGTGGCTGCCCCTCAGCCACGAATGCAGATGTCGGTGCTGTCGTATCCGTTGTTGGAAGCAGATATTTCTCCATCGTGGTCGGGGTGCATAAACAAACTGGATCGTATCATGATATGGTCCATGGGAAAGCGTTTCCCGAATCAAGAAAAAACTGTACCCGACGTCTGCACTGGATCCCGCAGGAAGATGCTCTGCCCGCATCATTCGTGGATTGGTTCAATTATGCGGTCCTCTATGCAACTCGTCTATCAGGTCGGCGCACGAGATTCGTCATGTCTTCGTGTGGCAGTCTGAAAGCGAAACAGGAGATTCTTGTTCGGTCTCGACGCACACCGTTCCCGTGGCATACGTGTACTTTTGACCTGGTTTCCTGAGCGACGTTTTGGAGTAAAGCGCATGAACCCAATTAAAAAATATCGACGCCGAGCATTGCTTGGCCTCGTCGTAGAGCACCGAATGAAAGGCTTCCCATTCGCAATTGACGGGATCGGATATTTTTCTTTCCGAGAACGGAAACCGTCGTACGGGATCCCATAATTCAAGACGCCAGAATAAGACGGAATGGCACGTTTGCGCTGACGAATAGCTCGCGAGAAGCAATCATCTTCCCGTCGGATCGCTGATTCTCTGCCCGATCATAATAAGACGGACGTGCACGACGACAATCGGATCATGAAGATGGAACCCGATCCGAGAAGAGCCGTTGCTTGCAACGGATCGTACCTGACCACTGGCGTCATCGAAATTCGCCGATCCAAAGGTCGCAGTCCGCGTGGGAGTTCAATTTCTCGTTCGGTATTGAGTTTGGGCTCGCATAGAATGTTTGCTGTGTTCGTTCATGCTAACGACGTGATCCGTTGTCGGTGAGCACTCCAACCAGTTATCAATTTGATGTTCTCTTGGTTTGGGCCGCTTTTCTGCTAACGGCGGAGCATGAATTGTTCGCTAAAGGTCGCTAAGAATATCATGCCAGAAAACAAATGGTCCTGTGGGATATTGAGGTCTTTCTTCGGCGGCTTTTCGCCCAGGGCGCATGCTAGCTCCGAGACGACTCCACTGTGATTGTTTCTCCTCGAGGCACTAATAACGGTTGTTTCATCGGATACTCTGCATTGTTCTCCGACGCCGAGAACCGTCAAAAACGCCTCCCAGATTTTCAGCATTACAGAGAATCGCTGCCTCGGCTTGTGCGAGATTCGCTCGAATTTTTCGAGCCGAGTGTTGTCGATTCTGTTTGCATTGCAGTACAATTTATCCTTAGTGCGTCCCGCGGCCGTTGTGGTCACCGCTGAATCTTGCCCAACCGGTCGGCGATGGAGACATCAAGGGCGAACTGTAGCTTCAGTCTGCCGTTCTCTTCCTCTTCATCGGAGCCCCGCGGAAACGAGCATTCTAGATAGATGCGGCTCTTTTGAAAATCATATGAACGCGTGCAGCTTATCGCCCCGAAATTTCTTATTTTCGAAGCTGCTTGATTGATTGATTGAGCGATCGTTCTTCGTATGGGTTCTTCCCTTGAAACTTCGCGATCCAACGGGTCACTCGATACATGCCTTCGTATTCGCTCCGTGACAAGCTGGATCCTTCAGAAATCCGCTGAGCTTATTCAGAGCGATAGTGTTTTCCATTTCTGGATCTCAAGGAACAAGCTCCCCCCGAGACACGGCGGAGATAAAACGTCATTCCTGGCACTCGGCATCGGTTGGAGTCTCGGTCGCAAGGATTGAGGTGCGGGTGCATTGCGAGTCGGGAGGTGAGTCCGTGACCCTCGGAACTTCGCCTAGGTCTTCCTTTTGAGAGAACAGTAGAGAGTGGCTTTGTCTCTCGCTTCATTGTCTCTTGCTCAAGAGTCCTCCATTCACTCTTCCGTGATTGGCTCTACCTCAAACAGCACGAGCCCTTATAGGCTGAGTGAGTTTTTTTCCGCAATATCGACTCGTATTCCCTCAGAAAGGACCTTGATCGCTCTCTGCTGAACAGGCTCGATCCCGCGCATCGTCATTCATAAACCCGTGTAAGATGATGTTGAAACATCAATTGTGGCGCAGCGAAGATTTTGTGTCGCGTCTAACGGATTCAAATGACAATCGACGACAAGCGAACGGCCGCCGTCTTATTGATGAATGGCAAACGACGATCGTCTGCGATCGCTTTCCAGAAGAAGAAACGAAGAACGCTCCTTCCCTCAGAGTTTTCCATTGTTTCAATGCTCCGGAGCTTTTGCATCATCGCCGATGACGTGTCGTCTTGGAAAAGGTCCTCGTCGAGACAAGCACCCTGAGTCGACATGCCAATGGACGACCCTTCAATTTGAATGACGTCTTGAATAAAATCAACCCCACGAAGCGCCACGACCAACGTCTATAATAATAATTATGATTGATCCCGGAGCAGCAGCGCCAGATGCTCGCTTACGTGATACGTCTCTCTAGGAATCGATTCCGATAAGTTGAACTCATCACAGAATTCTCTGACTTCCGAACTCAGTCGCACAAACGATGCTTTGTGTTCGGCAAACGTCGATGCCATCGCCACAGCTCGTGCTCCGGGCGTCGGTGAGAGCGCAAAGCGGCGTCGGGATCTTGCGCTTCCGGTGCGGAATCTCTGCTCAGTCAATCATCTGCAGGCAAACTCGCGGAACGTCGCGGATGCGCGGGAGGATGAAGGAGATTTGCATCGATCACAGGGCTTTGCGCTCGCAGTCTTGTGATAGACATGTGATTCCGGGATGATCTATTCAATATTCCGGAAAGTGGATGAGGATATTCTGTGAGCGAAGATCCCGAATTCACATTTGCAATCAGACGTCACGATCCTCGTCCGGAATCGACTCATTGCACTTCGGAACACTTCCGATCGATGCCCGGTGGACGCTAGGAAGCCAGCGTTGATTGATCCAGAAACAAAATGGGTCTCGGGAACTCGCCGC